ATCCTCCTCTTTTTGCTGAGGAAGACTGGCTCTGAGCTAACATCTATTGCCAATCCTCCTCCTTTATTCCCCCAAAGCCCCAGTAGATAGTTGCATGTCATAGCTGCACATCCTTCTAGTTGCTGTATGTGGGACGCGGCCTCAGCATGGCCGGAGAAGCGGTGCGTCAGTGCGCACCCGGGATCTGAACCCAGGCCGCCAGCAGCGGAGCACGCGCACTTAACCGCTAAGCCACGGGGCCGGCCCTAGACACTCTTTTACTCTTCCTGTAGATTGTTGACATTTTACTGATTGTTATATTTTGCCTAATAAGAGAGAAAGAGCCCATTTGAGAGTAAGTTGTGGATATCACGAGACCCTTCACCCCTAAATACTTACCAGGTATCTCTTGAGAACAGGAGGATTCTTCTGTGTGACTACAGTACAATCATCACACTCAGGAATCAACATTGAGACGATACTCCAACATACTGGTATCTAATAGACAGTTCATATTCAAATAGGGGTTTTGATAACTTGGAATGATGTCCATGGTCAGCCCCTGTAGACCTACACTTCATGGGTGTCTTTTCTTTGTCTCAAGTGCTGCTCTACTGGTACCATTTCATTGACAGAATCCCTTCCCCAGCTGTTGTGGGTATTTTATTTCCTGCATATTTCTCAAGCTGCAGCGGTTGTCTTACGTCTTCTTGATGGCAAGTCTCGCAGCAGCTGTGAGTTTCCCAAGGGATTTCCTGTCTCTTGCATGGAACCAGTTCAGAAGTTGTGAACTTGTCCAAGCATGTCTGCCGTCGACCTCCTCTCTGCCTGGAAAGAAATTTAATTTCTTAAGAAGTTGTATGTGTTGTATGTAAAATCAAATTTCCAGTTTAGGTATTTGACTCAAGTATTTGACTCAGACTTCCTCAATTTAGTGAAGGCACATAAGATGGTATAAATCTGATTTTCCATCTGGACATCCGTATCCCAAGCACTTACTTTTCCTCCATCTCATGTCATAATTCCAATCTTAGAATAGCTTCTACCATTCCTCAGACTTTCCAGCGGTATTGGAAGAACCTTCAGAGTTTAGATCAGGTCAACTCATGCTCCTTGCGCCATAATTCTGATTCTCGGTCACAGTGAAGATGCTCTCTAATCCTAAGACTCGGTAAGATTTTAATCTCTAACATTAGCTTCCAAATGTAATCTAGGTAAGTCACAACAATCTCAAAATCCTTCATCAATAAATAATCGGCAGTCCAGAAACTAAACGATGATTGTTAGCTTTATTATCGTTACTCAAAATAAAAGAAAAAAAAAAGAAAAGAGAAATACAAAGGAGGATTTCATTCATCAGGAGTGGCAATATTTTTAAGCATCTTTCTCCACTTCTCTTTCTCTTTTATTTCCTCGCTGCATGACACTTATATCACCTCATTCTAAGTTTCTTCAGAAAGCAGTTCCTGCAGCCTAGTTAACATAGGCTCTTTCTTCTCATTTGTCTCTCGGCTCTTTATCATGGAGATCAATTTAGTCTCTCAGGCTTTCTTCCACTCTGACACTCTCTCCCTTACCCAGATTCTGCCCTGGGAACAACAGGATGGGAGTAGACGCAGCAAGAAAACATCCTTCCTCCTTAGGAAAGAAAGGATGGGACGAGAGAGAAGACAGCAAACAAATTCTACTCAAACTCATTCTTTGCTATCGTTTATTGCTTTCATTCATAACTTTTAAATGATTTTCAACAAAGTGAAACACAAAATAATGCTTTTTCTTTGAGAATATGCCTGTCGGCCTTGTGGGAACTGTTGGGAATCTCAGAACTAAATTCAGAGCTCTCCTGGTTTTTGTTCTTTGTCTGTTCCTTCCATTTGTACTTCTTTGTTTATGTCAAAGTTATTTATTTTGATGCATTTTAAAGGCTTCCTTGTAAATGCACTTTCCAATAACAGCTTTATCAAGATATAATTTACATACTCTAAAACTCACCCTTTCAAAGCGTATAATTCAGTGGTTTTTGGTACATTGGCAGAGTTGTGTAAAAATCACCACTATCTAATTTCAGAACATTTTAATCATCTGAAAAAGAAACCCCATACCTGTTAGCAGTTACTCGCATTCCCCACTCTCACCAGCCCCTGGACTTTTCTGGAGCTCTCATATAAATGGAATCATACAATGAGTGATTTTTTGAGACTGACTTCTTTCCCTTATCATAATGTTCTCAAGGTTCATTCATGTTGTCTCATGTATTGGTACTTTGCTCCTTTTTGCCAAATAATGTTCTATTGTATGGATATACCACATTTTATTTATCTACTCATCAGAGAATGGATATTTGAATTGTTTTCACTTTTTGCTAATTACAAATAGTGCTGCTATTAACATCTGTGTGCAGGTTTTATGTGGACTTAAGTTTTCAATTCTCTTGGATATATACACCTAGGAGTGGAATTGCTGGGTCATATGTTAACTCTATGTTAAACATTTTGAAAACTGGCAAACTGTTTTTCACAGCAGCTGCACCATTTTACGCTCTCAGCAGCAGAACATGAGAGTTCCAATTGCTCCACATCCTCACCAACACTTGTTGTCATCTGTCTTTTTGCTTATAGCCGTCCTGTGGTTCTTAAGTGGTAGCTCATTCATATTTATTTTTAATGGTCAGTTTAACAAATTTTGTGTCTAATTATGCAAAACTATCTCAAGTTCTTTTTTTTAAATTGTGGTAAAATATACATAACATAAAATTTACCATTTTAACCATTTTTAAGTATACAATTCGGTGGCATTAAGCACATTTGCAATGTTGTGCAACCATCACCACTATCCATTTCCAGAACTTTTCATCATCCTAAACTGAAACTTTGTGCCCATTAAATAATAACTTCCTATTCCCCCAGCTCCTGGCAACTTCTATTCTACATTGTATCTCTATGAATTAACCTAGTCCAGGTATTTTATATAAGTGGATTACATAATATTTGTCCTTTTGTGTCTGGTTTATTTCACTTATGATGTCTTCAGGGTTCATCCGTGTTGTAATTTATATCTGAATTTCATTCCTCGTTACTCAAATTCCTTTTGTAAGCAGATCTGGTATAATTTTAAATACTAAACTAATAAAGAAAATGTGCCTGATAATCCACGCTGCTCTGTTTTGGCTTTAAGATGCTGGGACAGCTTCTTAGAAAGAGGTACTACCCTTCCCCTCTTGTTTGCAGTGGAATGCTGTGGCCACCTCTCACCTCCTATACTCATTGGTAAAGTCAGAAGAAATTGCTGCTGAAAAATTGCTAATTTTCCTCTCAGCAGTGATGAAGACTTGCCAAGGAGATTTTAGATGGGGCTTCCTTATGCATAACCAGTAGAAGAGGAGATATTTTGCTCTTCCTAATCTTTCTATACCAAGGATGACCCATTGGTAGGAGCAAAAATCACAAATTGCTTTTACCTATGGAGCTTGTTAGAGTCTGTGTGTAAGTACCAGCAGACTTTATTTTAATACTTAACCCTGGAATCATGATACCTATATCTCATATATTTTTATGTTGTTTATAAACAGTAACTGTCTTAAGACTTGATCATCCAGCATATATACTTAGCAAAGTCTGTATAACTGGGATGGATTCTATTGTCTATTCATAAAAAAAGTTAAGTGAATTCCATTGACTTCTGATTTGTCTTGTTTATACAATTTTCCTAAATAAATACGAGAGAAATTACCAACATTCTCTTGACTTCTTAGATTAAAGCTTTGGAACAGACCAAAGCCATTGAAGACCTAAGTAAATCCAGAGACAAACTGGAAAAGATGAAGGAGAAAGCTGAGAAAAAGCTGATGTCTGTCAAGTCAGAACTGGATACCACAGAGCATGAGGCTAAGGAGGATAAAGAAAGGGCCAGGAACATGATAGAAGTGGTAACCAGCGAAATGAAGACACTAAAAAAATCCCTGGCAGAAGCAGAAAAGAGAGAAAAGCAGGTGGGTAGAAATCTGGTGGTGAAATTTCTTATTTAGGAAAGTTAGGACAATGCAAAAGCTTGATAATTATTCATACATTTCTTAAGAAACAATTTACAAAGCTTTCTATATCATTTCAAGATAGCTGCCTGCCGTCTAGTATCTTTTTGGCATTAAAAGAACCATCATGATTTTACTCCCCTAAGAAAAATAATTCTCAATTTCATGGCCGGAATTGTAGGAAAGAAAAAGACTTTCTTATCAAAGCAGTGGAAAGCCTGTGAAAAGCCAAGGTCTGGTTCTGGAGAGGTTTTTATTATGTCCAATGGTTGCCTCTGAAGATGGCATCAGCCCAGATCTTCTAACGTTAACCAGGACTTCATCCTCAGGAAGGAAACCTTATCTCCAGCAGAGATCAGTTGCAGAAAACAGTCCCAAATCTCCAACAGTGGCACCCAGACCTGATGGCCAACCAAGCCCAGATGTAAACTATAAAACAGTACTCATTGCTCGCTGGTTGCAAGGAAGAGAGTTTTATCTGGTGAGCCCATCAGGAGGTCAGGCATAAAGAAGCATGTGCCGGGCAGCCTGACCTCCAGGTTTTTGGCTTTCATCTTGCTCTCTTTCTGGAGCTCAAAAGGCCATAGAGTGGACTCTGATCCTAGGTTATTTTTTCTCTTTGGCTGCCTCTGCTTTGGCTCATATGTCAGGCGGAGTTGAGGAAGGCCAAACTATAAGAGCGTTCTCAGAGGGAAACAGAGCTTGGGCCATATGCGAAAGGGCAGAAGAGTTTGAGGAAATTTTTCATCAGGGAGACTAGGCTGGAGAGAGTGTTATGTTTCCCAAATTGGACTCAGCATAGGAAGGAGGTTGGGAAGGGAATGAACACATGGTGGGAATACTTGGAAGGCAGTTCTCCTGGATGTAACATCTGTCTTCATGTTGGATGACACCTTTTCTAAAATGGAAGGTACTTCTAGTGAGGGGTTGCCCAGATTCCCTAATTTATCTGCTTCTGCCTTAGCTTAGAATCAAGCAACCAGTCTATGAGAATTGGAAGGGGTATGAGGCACATTTCAACCATTGTCTCCAGCCTCCCACCCCCTTTTTTCCTCTTGTGATGGACAAATGGTACTTTCAGAGAGTCCAATGCTATGGGTTGTGAGGTGGCAATCTGTGTGATGTGATTTGATCATCATTTTGAAGTCCTCTGCTTTCTTTCCATTTGGTCTTCCTTTAGTTTAAGAGGTTCATTGCCCAGTTAAAAGTCCAGTGCATAAGCACTTATCACCCATGGACACACCCACATCAACATTTATAAAGCATTACATAGCATGCAGAACACACACACACTCATCATTTCATTTGATCCAAATTTACGAACAGCCCCGGGAGGTAGGTGTATGGTTATTCCCACCCTGGAAATGAGAAAATGGAATTTTAGTGAGGTCAGAGTCTCGTTCATGGTTGCTGAACTGGGATTCTTGACTTGGTAGCCAACACCACATTAAATGGCTTATCAGAAAAGTGGTTATGAAATCGTTGAAGGCTGGTGCCTGAAAGGACTCTACAAGGCTAGCCTTCTTATCTTACAAATGAGAGAATTAAGGCTAAAGAGACTAAGTAATTTGCCTATCTCATGCAAACCTGGGTTTTTCAATTTTTTGGGTTGCATTTGGCCTAGCAGTAAACACATTTTGCTCTCTCCATTACTGTGTTTCTGTTTGACATTGCAGCTGGTGGACTTCAGAGAGGTGGTTTCCCAGATGCTGGGCTTGAACATGACCAACCTCACTCTTCCCGATTATGAAATCATCAAATGTCTTGAAAGGCTGATCCATTCACATCAGCATCACTTTGTCACTTGTGCCTGCCTCAAGGATGTGACTACTGGGCGAGATAGGCACTTGAAAGACCACTTAAAACTTCTTCATTGAACACACCATATCTCTTGAGGGAGGTGGAACTAAGAGATAGTGGATGCAATTCTCAATTTCACAAATTCCCCAAATCTTTGAAATTTGATCAGTGTGTGAATATTGTATACTTTGATGACAGAGCTAGACTCCATCATCAGCCAAAGAAGGATCTGTAGGTAAATGTATGGCACTAAAAACAGCTATTATTTCATTTGCTAGCACTTTAGGATCCAGAAGAATTCCTTTAGATTACATATCTAGAATAGGAAATGGCAGTAGGGAGTTAACTTTTATGGGGTATCTTTTATGAGTCAGGGCCTTGGCTACCCAATTTAATTCTCATAATAACCACGTGGAGAAGATTTAATGTTTTTATTTCACAACCTCTTTGGGCTCAGAGAGGATGTTATCTACCCAAGATTGCAGTTGGTTAGTGACAGAATGTATACCATGTTGGCTCAAGACCAAGGGCTGTACCTTCTCTGCTACTCCAGAGCCCTCCAGTTTCTCCTGAATCCCTGTGATTCTGGTGGAAATTGACTGCATGAAGGAAGGACAACATCCATACAGTCAAGAATTGAAATCCAAAAGTAACTAAGATTTATGAGTGGAACCGATGTGATTTCTTTAAAAAGCAATACACCAAATATTTGGATAAAACATAAACGGGTCTGAGATTCTGTAAGAAACTTGCCTGTTTTAAATGTTGCTACCAAGTCGCATTTGGTGGTAATTTTTAATGTTTGAACAAGACTGACCTCAGCACTTAAAAATGAAACCTTGAATGTGAAACCTATAAGATGAAGAAATCCTACACAGTTTTATTCACCAATATATCAAATGCACTCACAGCAAGGGTACTTTTTCAGGATCAGGATTTTTATTATGAATTTCTATCACTTCTGCCTTCCTTTTAAATTTCTATTTCACAAATATTTTTCAGGAAACCATACTCTTTACTGAGAAAAACGTGTTGCTCTTTCGGAAAATTATCTTATTTCTGTCATATGAAAAGTATTTTTTATAGTCCCTTAAAAAAAAGCATTGATGTCTAATTAAGGGAGAGAGAAAAAATAAATTATACCCAAACATTAAGAGAAAATGAAAACTCTAGAAGAAAGGAAATGAGTTTGACACTTACAGGTTGGGTAACAGACTACAAAGAGGGAGGGTGACCAAGGATCTCCGCTGGGGGGTGGGTCATCTCTGCCTGGCTTTCTCCTTCGTAAGCAAGGACAGCATGAAGTAGCATTTTGCAACTGAGTAAATACACTCGCATAGCCCTGCCTGAGGATGCAAGCTAGGTCTGCAACAGGCGGGGCAGGCAGCCTCGTGTTTTCCCAGAGGAAGTCCTGCAGACCCTGGATGTCCCCTCACATGCTCCAAAGATGCAAAGATGACCCACACTCATCTGGAGTGGAGGAGGTGACTTTACCATTTGGGTCTCTGGAGACTGAGAGGCTCTGCTTCGCCCAGGTCAAAGAAGGCGGGGTCCGGAAGTGGGGGGATTATTTTTGTGCATTCTGTCCATTTTCATTTTCCAAATACAATCTTTAATGAACTTCATTTATTTTCTCTGTAAATTTATTTTCAATACTATTCAAAGATACTTTTAACAACATTACTTTGTAATTAGTATTTGGGTGGTGAACATGATGTAATTTATATAGAAATAGAAGTATAATGATGTACACCTGAAATTTATACAATGTTATAAACCAATGTGATGGCAATAAAATCAAAAAAATTAACAACAACAAAAAATATCAACAGTCATAAATATTATTTTTCCATTTTTGACTTATAGTTTTAGATTCAAATAAAAGACTAAAAATGGTCCATAGTGGTTAGTACTATACTTTCTCTTTATTATACAAAATTACATTCCACTTATGCCAATATATGTTTATATAATGTTTCCAATATATGACAAGCATATATACAATAATCTTTAATATATATAGAAATATTACAAATGTTTGAATATAAACCTTAGGGATTCTGGTGGAAAGACTATACGGGATAAGAAAAATAAATTCTGTCCATGTGTATGGTCCATATACACATTAACTATTTGTCATTTGGACAAATTGAAAAATCCCTTAATAAACTCATTTCCCTCTTTGTTGAAATGCCAGTTGGTTGTTGGCTTTCTCTCCGTGGCCTTCATTCTAGAGTTGGCAGGCCAGCCTCACATTTTTGTGTTAGATTTTGTTCTTCCATAATATCCATGTATATTTTATGTTGTCCAACAAAATGCGTTAGGTTGATGCGATTTTCTAAATAGAGTTTTGAAATATTTAACACTAACTCTTCTACCAAATACACTTGAGTGATAATTGCTACTGAGATTATTACTCTGGTCATTGTCTGAGACATTTCAATATCTGCATAAAATATCTCAATTAGGAAAAAAAATTTAAACCTGATCTATCTAAATTTCGGTTTTACCTTGTAGTCTGTCTTACAGATGAACAGAGAGTGATTCAAGGTCAAGGGGTGGTGGGCTGAAAAGCTGGTAAAGAATGTCGGCATTATTGATATTGTAATAATACTTAGGACTTAGAAATGGAGTGTAATTTTCACTGGGGGGCATTTCATGGTTACATAACCTTTGACTAGGAAGGCTCCGCCCACTTTATGTAGCAGCGGTCTTATCCACATTATCGCACATCCCACTCAGCTTCTCATCAGTAAGTGGGGTCTTGATGCTTCTCTTTCCTCTATGCAGCCTCCACACTGTTATTCCTTCACTTTTGTATAAAGGCTTTTGAGGCTCCTGCTGACTGATATATAACTTGCTTCTGGTCCTCATTGTTGTTGCCTACTAACATTGTGTCTGTTCTTCCTACTTAAGACTGTTGCGAATGGTCCATAGGTGTCTTCTCCATGCTCATTAAGTACTACCTTCATCTTGGATGACTTCAATGCCCATAAGGCAAACCCATGCAAGACTTTTTCTTTAGTTTCTTGGCCTTCTCAGCTCTCATACCTTTATCTCCTTTTGAATTTCAGCCACTCACACCCTCGATTGCAGTTTACAGCAATCCAACTTAGACTACGTTAAACCAAAGAGAGAATTTGGAGGGCTCATTTGAAAGATTCAGGGGTAGACTAGCTTCAGCATGGCTTGATCCAAGGATTCAAAATTGTTATCTGGATTCTTCTTGCTTCTGTCCATCTTTCATCCCTGCTTGATTTGCTTGTGTTTGCATGTTGGTCTGGCTTTCTCCTTCTGCAGGTGGGTTCTTCCATGCTGCCGGGAAAGGTGGTGACAAGCAGCTACGGGGTCTGTGCAACTCATGAGCTGAGAAAAGAGAGACTCTCTGCCTCCAACATCCATGGAAGAAATCTAAGACTAGTCTGATCTTCTCTTTTTGGTCATATACCCATCCTTGGACCAGGCACTGTAGCCAGGGTTGGACTCACTGGCCTGCACCCCTTGCCAATCCCTGCAGTGAAGGTGGGATAGGGTGAAGCTCTAGGGTGATCTGTTCAACCAGAACCACATGTCATGACAGGGAAAGTTCCCCAAAGGAGAGGGAGCTGGACTGACACACAACATACATCTATGGTCAAATTCGGGACCTTTTAATCACCTAGAACTTCTCCACCTCTGAAATCTTAAATTAAAATCTCCATAAGCTCTCATCATCCCAGACCTCTTCTCTTACTCCCAAATAGCTGTTCTTTGAGTTTCCTTGGTCCTCGCATTTTCTCCCTGCTAGCCTTACCAATCTTCACTACCTCTTGAGCCAGCCTAGATATTACGGTTCATTTCTTCAATCATTCTCCTCCTAACACCATGAACTCCTTGTGCCCTTGCCCTTCTGTCTTCAACTTGGAATTAATCCCAACTGCCAATATTTCTGCTGCTTTTCTTGCCCCACTGAATGAGACTGAAGGAAATCACACAAAATCGCAGCTAAGTGGCATGCCAAATGCATGGCCTTCGATCTCATGTGAGCCCTCTGTATTAACTGGTCATCCTTCACTGTTTTCTCTGTTAGATTCACTGCCATTTTCCAAAATGACTGTTGCAAATATTCTTCTCTCCCTCAAGACTCTTACCCTTCCCTCTTCACTGTCAGCCGATAATCTTGTCTCCTATTTCACCCAGAAAATAGAAGCCATTACAGGAAATACCTTCAATGTCAGATCCTAATATAGCCTGATATGTGTCCACACCCATCCTTGCCTCCTTCCCTCTTCCTGTCTCATATTATTTCTTCTACCTGGCCACTTGCATCCTCAGCAACTTAGTCCCATCAATTACTTTCCTCTCTCAAATTGTTTTCAACCTCACTTTCACTGGTGGCTTATCTCCTTCAGTATTTAAATATGTTCATTTAAAAAAATCACTCCCTCTACTTCACAACAACTTCTACTTAGAGCCTTATTTCTCTCTCCCTCTTCATAGTTGAGCCACTTGAAAGTGTGGTTTATATTGCTGTCTTTCTGGTTTTACCTCCCATTCATGCCATCATCCATGGCAACCTGGCGTCTGCCTCTGCTCACCCAGCTCTCACATTTTTGTTAGCAAATCTCTGTTACCTTTGAAGTACTTATCTTACTTAATCTTTCTGTAACATTGGATACACTTGACCATTTCCTTCTTGACATATTCTCTTTCATTAGTTTCCATGATGTGACATTCAATTCGTTTATTTCCTGCCTCTTTGGGTGCTTGAGTTAGATTATCTCAAGGTTATAGGAAACAAAAATGAAATGAGAGATTGATGTAAGAATAAATGTGGATTTAACCGTAGGTGGGAATCTTGACCTCACAGTCAGCACTCAGTGTAGAACAGTCATAAGTCCCGGAAATGGGAATGCAGTTGACGGTACAAGACCTGGAGTGCCAAGTGCAGGGGACAGTGCGGCTCTCACGGCTGGGTTCTCACAAGTGTGGATTTCCCTTGATGCCATGACAGCTCAACTTCTCTCTGCCTTTGCTGCTACTGCTTCAGCTGATTCCGTCATCATCTCTCCACTCTTCTCTCCACCTTTAGCTTCTACTTCTGCCTATTCCCCGGCTTCCCTTTGTCTATCTTCTCTAATACTTCCAGGCTTTTCTGTACATCTTTTCATTTCTGTTCCCACCGTTAACTGCTCTTGCTCGTCCTCTCTGTGCTTCTCCTCCAGAGGGAGAACCTGATTGATTGAATCAGTCACTCT